GGCCGCACTGGGCCGGGCCGCACCGCCCCATCCCGCCCGCCACGGGTGTAACCGGGCCGCACTGGGCCGGGCCGCACCGCCCCATCCCGCCCCGCCACGGGTGTAACCGGGCCGCACAGCTCCTTCCTGCCGCTCGCTCGCTCCCCACGCCAAAATGCCGCTTATCAGCGTCCCCAAAGAAGTGGCTGTCGGGACGGCGATGCTGGGGGTCGCCTTTGCCACGGGTGTGCTCGCAGGTAAGCGGCGCCTCCCAAGCCCTGCTATATTCACAGAGACGTGAAGGCTGAGCCTTCCCGGTGTCCCCAGCGGGGACGGGAAGCGCCCGGGCAGGTCCCTCCCGGGGCGGGCAGGAGACCTCGCCGCGGTGCAGCCCGGCGGCTGTCCCGGGAGCAGACCCCTTGGGCTTTATTTTGCTGAGCTGCGGCAGTAAATACCCCGATGTTCTTAGAGCCCAAGCCGCTCCCTGTAATCCAGCTGCCGCGGTGTGGGGCCAGGCCAAGGTCCGAGCGAAGGCGAGGACAGCTCCCCGCCCGGTCCCCGGCCTGCGTTCGTTTGCTCAGGCCGGGGTGCGGTCCTGGCGCTCAGCATTGTTCTCTGGTAGCAGTTTCGCTTTCACTGCCCCGGGGCAGCGGAAGAACGAGCCCACGATCCAGGAGGGGAAGCAGACTGGTGTTGGGTTTGTAACGGGGGAACTTGATTACTTACACTTTGACTTAAGGCAAGTTGTTGAAATAATCTACATCTCGCCGTGATTGTCTGTAAAATAGAACCATTAACAGAAGATAAACCCCTCGAAATAAAAGTGTTCTGTAGATGTGGAAATGAATTTGTTGTGGTCTCTTCAAAATAGCTGGTCCATCTGGTAAAAGAAACGTTGGTAAGGAAAGCTGCAGTCAGTACTGTATTTGAGTGGACATGTACAAATCCTTAAACTTTCAGCACCTACTTTGTTTGCATGCTGGTTTCATGCTAAACAAGCCATTGAGCAATACTACATTTTCCCTGGCTGGAAGGCAGGACAGTGTCATCAGGAGAGCATAGGGTTTGAGAAGACACATCAGCTGATGGGCCTAAAACCTGGCAGCCTCTATTCATCTGCCAGATAAGGACTGAGAAAACTATGTTCATCTTTCTCTCTTTGAATTTTAAGTTTTGATGGGATTAAAGCTCCTGTAAAATTATGGCAGTTTATAACCACCGCATTGGCCACTGAACAACACAGTGCTGAAGCCTTTCTCTTTCAGCTTTAGAGATCTGGGCTGGACATCTTAGAGGCTAAAAAGGACACAGAAAAAATTATAGTCCGCCTGGTTGTCCAGCTATGTTGTGTTTTCCATTTTCATGGCTATTGTAGAGTGAAGAACTTCTTAACCTTTAGTAATGCTTCAATGCTTACTTTATTTAGAATGGCAATACCTGAAAAGTATAAAAGTGACTATTATTACTTACTTTTTTGTAGGTAAAAGATACCCTTCTTTCATTTTTGGGACCCCGAGTGGTATGATTAGGAAAAACAGTCCTCTCCGGAAATACATACTGGATCACTCCTTGCGGGAACATCCAATTCTAAAGAAGCTGCGTCTGGTCAGTATCGCCCACACCTCATCCTGACCTGCTGGGATCCTGGTCATATTTCCATCCTCCGGCTTATTTGCGTACCCACTAGAGGGATTTTGTTAACTGGTAATACCCAGACCTTTCAATGTTCAGGGCTATCTACCTACATGGCTGTTTAATAGTATATTACATATTAATTGCCATACATTTTAGACATGTTTTTCTATCCTTGGCTCCCAAGGCCATGTGTTAGAGGTTGCACTTGGTTTGGATTTGAACAGACGACTTCTGTTCACTTTGGTTAGCATATAAGGAACCTGTAGCTCAGAGACATGATGTCCTCCATCAGGCTCCAGTGTCAGAGATGAGACCAGACATCCTGACGCAGGTTTGAGGTGAGACAAACTGTTCTTACATAAAAGAAATTAAATGTTAACTGCTGGAACAGGTTGGTTGGAATGATCCCTAGTAGAAGAAGGGAAATAGGACATACTTTCCTGTCAGCTGTCATGGCACAGCCCTGCTTTTCTCGTTGCCCATTCTTCAGTGCCTTTCCACCCTGGGATGGGTAGGATGGGCACAGCTTCTCCAGGTTTGCACTGTGTAGCCAGGACTACGTGGTCTGAACTTTTGCAGACATGAACCTAGCAGTTCATTAAAGCATTTTACACATCTTGAAGGAAGTGCATCTATTTGTGTAAATTCACAGAAATAAAGGACTTTGATATTCAAAGTTCCTCTGCAATTCTTTGTTAGTTACAAATATTGCTGAGTTTGCCACAGCCATGGTAACTTTGGAGCATATTACTGCCTTCAATATCCACTGCTTATGACACACATAACATCTTCCTTATAGTTAAATTCAAAACGATTTCTGGCTCATAGATGGAGCACAAAGCCATCTAAAATGAGGAGACAGGGGTATCTGCTTATCCTGGAGTTTCAGTAGGATTTTTTTCTTTAGGATATTGGTTTGGTAGATTTGGTTTTTGTTTGATGCAATGTGTTATATTTTTTCCCTTTTCTAGCTCACTGCTGAACATCCCTGGGGCAGAATGATGGTGTCCTGTGAGCAGGCTCAGCTTATGGCAAATTTGGTCAAACTCATTAAAGCCAAGAAAGTTATTGAAATAGGTAAGAGTGTCACTTTGTAGTAAAAAACTCTTGCCTATCATTCTCCAAATACAGCTGCATTCAACGTGAAATATCCAAATACAGGAAGGCACTGCATATGTCAGCAAACAGGTGGGCAAACTACAGCGTGAAAAGGAGTGTCTGATTTGCACTTGGTTGCCTCTTTGTCTAACTGTGCATTCAGTGGTTCTGGCATCAGCATGGATGGTTCATCAATTCTGAAGCAATCTGAAAAACTGAGCTAAACAGATCTCTTGAGTCTTCAGCAGTTGCAGGACAGGGTGTATTCTGTCCTTCCTGTATCAATTTCTTGCTAGAAGAAGATATTTTTCTGCACAGGCCCTGTATCAAATCCACTTTGCTTGATGCACCTATATTACCAGGATGTCCTAAAAGACAGACTGATGCTGAGCAGCCAAGTATGGGTTCCCACCATCTTTATTCTTGGCCTGGCTGTTACAATTCCCTGGTGTTTTGCTGCTCACTTGGGTTACACATGCAACACCAGACTCTGCCTTGTCTGTCCATGAGCCTTTTGGAAAAGCTAACATTGAAGTTTGCTAAAAGATTGATTTTAAAAAAAGAAAAAATACATTAAAATGGAAGGAAAAATGAAAAATCTTTATTGTCTCTTAACAAATTGCCATTCTTGATTCCTTTGGGGATTTTATTCCTGAAGAGAGCCCTGTAGTCCTTTTTTCATGATGCAGTAAGTGTTAATGTCTCTTGTGATTTTCCTAGGTGTTTTCACAGGTTATAATGCCTTGAATATGGCACTTGTCCTGCCAGATAATGGCCAAGTTATTGCCTGTGATATAAATGAGGACTATGCCAAAATTGGAAGGCCACTGTGGAGGGAGGTAAGCAGCATCTCCTATACACAGTGGAGGCAGCTGCCCTTACATGTGAAGAGATTTAGGTATTTTAGACTTGCACATTCACATAGAAGTATTCTTACCATTAAAGAAGGCTGTTAGAGTTCAGTTTGGGAAGAAAAAAGTGGTGTTTGGAACCTAGAAATAACAGAAAAACTGTCTGAACCCCAGTCACTCCCTGGGTACAGCCACTACTACTAACAGGTTATTTCTTGACCAGTTTTATCAACACTCTCTTCTTTTCCATCTTAGGCAGGAGTAGAGCATAAAATTGACCTGCGGATTAAGCCAGCAATTCAAACACTTGGTAAGTAACCTGAAATAACCAATTGTTTCTCCTTCCCTAGACACAGAAGAGGGATACAAAATTTAAGACCAAATATGGTTGTGAATGTGATTTTGCTAACAGGGAGGCAGCTTCTCTTATAATAATTAAAAAGTAAAAATCTTAAGGCACTCACAGTTCTCCTGCCTACTAGCAGAGAGAGAGAAAATGCTTGTCCCATGTAGTGGGCAGTACTGCTCACTCACCTGTCCATCACTTTATTTAATCTATCAAGTACTATTGTCAGCTGCTTCTGGGAAAGATGATTAAAATAGATTAGTTAGACAAAGCCGAATTTCTCTTATCTATTGTCCATTCTAAGCAAGTATTCCTTTGTTAAGAGAGAAAGGGTTCCCTGAAAGGGCTGAAGTGCAGAAAAAATTCAGAAGCCAGTATATAATTTAGACTGAATCGTGTTCAGGGAAGTTCAATTTCAGGATGTGCCAAAAGTGTGCAAGGCCATTAGTGAGGCAATGACTTGTCTCATTCAAGGAAAGAGAAAATGTGGAGCAGAAATGCTAAAGTGTAAGTGTTCTGAAAATGCAAGAAATTTTCTGGGATTGTTGGATGCAGGAGGTTTCCAGTAGAGGTGTTTGATGGATCCACTTTCAAATCCATCCTTTCTGAAGAGGCAGGTATAAGCAGTTTGCTGGTATACACACTCCTTGAAGGCTGTCTAACTGCTTTGTCCAGGCATTGCTTTAGACAAAAAGATCTTCTGCTGACAGAGGCTAAGGGCCAGTTACAGGAGTGGCAGAGGACCTTAGGAGACAGCAATCACCTTCTCTTCAACTGGCAATTTGGAATTCTCAGTCAGGAAGCCTGTCTAGGAGAACTTAAAACTGAATTCTACTTGTCTTGGCCCAGAGAGGGACTACTTACAGCAATTCTTGCTGTAAGTATCTCTGACAGGGTTTGTTCATGACCTGTGTCATGGCACTTGATCTGCAAGGAGAGATTAACATTTAGAACCTGTTCATAAAGTGAGAAGAATAATCCACTCAAGAAAACAGTTCTCAGCTCAAAAAAAGCTGAAGGTGTAGAGTATGTCCAGTTTCAAAGTGCTTGACTTGTTTTTACTGTACCTTTCAGCAGTCCCAGCTATATCCTTCAGATTTGGAGCTACTCCACAAACTCCTAAGCATGCAGAACTCAGTAACTGTGTGTTTTATGGCATACTTAATGTCTAGATTGGTTTCTGTGGGATAAGCTTTTCTAGTAATTACCTGTGGAGGAATAGGCTGCCTGGTAAAGGCAGCAGAAAACATTTAATGAGAACTTTGACACAAATGGATTACTTCCTCCTACACAGCACTAACCAGGGTATAACAACTCACTTTGTTGCTCATCCAGATGAACTGTTGGCCAATGGAGAAGCGGAAACCTTTGACTTTGCTTTCATTGATGCCGATAAAGAAAACTACAATGAGTACTATGAAAAATGCTTGCACCTTATAAAGAAAGGGGGAATAATAGCTATTGATAATGTAAGTACTGCAGTTCTGGTGGCTATGCACAGGCAGTTACTGCATCTGGCTGTGGGAAAAAGAAAAAAAAGTCACAGTGGAAATCTAGTAATGTGATTTCTGACCTGCAGTTAGGTTGCTAATTGTGACACATTTGTTCCACGTGACATAAAGAAAATTCAACGTAAACTCTTAAAGTAAGCTATATAAAGCACTAATAGAAAACATGGAATTTCTTTTCTTATTTGTTACAGAGAATGCTCTGTATTATTCTGGTTTGTCTTGTAGTGCATGTAAACTATGTACAGTAAGATCAAAAGTAGCACTTGTAATCAGTAACTATTAATAAGTCATCAATTAATTACTTTTACAAGAAACAAAGGACATTAAACTTCAGGCACCTTCAGAGTTATGGTGACAGCCAAATAGGTGCTCTTAAAAAAGCTATATTTAAAGACATAGTTTTTTATTTTGGTTTCAAATCTACAGTAGAGGTACAATTAGCAAGTTCTGTGGCTTCTCAATCCCACTTACTTATGGGAGTTCCATGTCAGAGACCATTAGACATCTGAAATACAACAAATAATATCAATCTCTAAAAAATATAAAATAACTTTTCCAAAGCCTCCTTTGTGGTCCAAGGACCATACTGGAACAAAGGAGGTGCATCATATTTCTTTTTTCAATAGGTCTTTTGGAATGGAAAGGTGCTAAAACCAAGGAAGGATGACTTGGCAGCGCAGAGTATCCACCACCTCAATGAGAAGCTTCTCAGAGATGCGCGTGTCAATATCAGCATGCTCCCAGTGGGGGATGGAGTCACATTAGCATTCAAATTGTAACTCAAGGAAGCCCAGCAGATGGGAAATAGCAAGCAGCATCAAATCATCAGGAAAAATGTAGGTGGAACAGCATCAAAAATTTAATTTAACCTATATCTCCACTGGATATCATAGCCTGGGAAAGTAAACTTTAGGAACAGCAGGATCCTAAAGGCAGCTAAGCAGAGAAGAGAGATTTATTGAGATCTACTATGGTTTCTTACTTTAATTGTAATAAAGGAAATAAACTTACATTAAATTGTCCTTGTAAGACAGTGGTTGAAAAAATCCCCCTCTATAGATTGTCCAAATGACTCAATACAACGAAGTAATTTTCTGTCCTAGAAGAACCTCTTGAGCAGTGGAATAATCAGTCAGCACCATCAAAAGGAAAAGAAGTGCAGTTTACTAATGCTTATGGCCATAAGAGAAAAATGGATTTTTAATGAAATGACATCAAGGAGATTGCTAGCCTTCTCAGACTAAAAATATTGTAAGTCATTCCTTATCTTTAAAGGGTACTACAGAACAAGCCTCAAAAAGGCATCATGTGAAAAAAATGTTATTTTTAAAAGCTTACTAAAGGACAAAACAGTATTTGCAAATACAATTGTGTCTCTCCCCTTACTCCCTCAAAGAAGCAACTTGCTAGTTGCTTGTTTCCTAGAAAGTTGCAAGCACAGAGTAATGGTGGCAAGCCTATAGAAGGATTATGATTGTATGAGGATGCAATACAGCTGTTAACTGGCTGTTCAAATTATTATTGGAAGCAGAGATTCCCTTCCCTAGGCAGCAGATGGCAAAATTTCAGGCTGCAATTCTTTATTACAGGTAAAAATTGATTAAATAAGAAACTGAAAGTAGGATTTTTCAGACAAAAGCTTCACTGGTAACTGTTTTGGGGGACTGGTAACACTGGAAGTATATGTCTAGAGGAAAGAGATCTTCAGTTTTGTTGATGACCTGAAGGAAAGCTGTTACCAGAGCTAAGAGAATCCTTTGTCCATTTGCTTAAACAATGCACTTGAATGACTTGAGCCACTGGGGGACAAAGGTTTCAAGTCTCAGAATGTTTAAAGCTGTCTGCTTGGCTCATACTTTTGAAATTTCAGCTGGGTGGCTTGGGTTCTGGTAAGGGGCAGAAGTTCAGAGCAGAAGTTCAGGCTCTTTCCTGTCACAGACACTGACACAGACACTGCAGTGTAGAGAAATGAAGAAAGGAAGCATTGCCTGATGGCTTCAGAGTAGGGTTATGACTGAGGAGATCTCAATTCTATTTCTGTCACTTCCACTTAAAACACTGATTCAGCAAAGCATAACAGGATGTGCTTAAGTACTTTGCTGAATTGAGGACTGACTGCTAAATCCAAGTCTGGGAGAAGGCCAGGACAAGTTGTGTGTTGCCCTTAAATGAGAATCTACATAGGGCATAAAGTTTGCTCAATTCTTTTGAGTACAGATTTACCCTCAGAGCTTCAAACCTCTGCACTCCTCAAATTTCTTCTCTGCATAAAAGAAATAACACCTTATTAAATTCTTAGTGACTATAACAGCTTTCAGATGGAGTGGCTAAGGGAGTGCACAGGATTATTACACATTTGCATGCTGAGCTTCTGGCCGTGTTCTACTTTACAATTTTACTTTGTCAGTAGATACCAAAAGAATCCTAAGGGTTAAAAACATTAAATGGGACACTTTAACAGCAGGGGCATCTTCTCAAATATTCCTGCTTTCAGAGGCTAGAGGCTGATGAACATGAGCAAGACAGAAGCTGTTAAGAATACTTACCCTGCCCTAAAAGTACCATGATGGCCTTTCCCAAACATGGAGGAGCCATTGGAAAATCAACCACAGACTCTGCAACTGTTTTACAATTTTCCAAGTTGCAAGAATCCTATCAATGAAGGTGAGCCAAAAATGGGCAAGCATCATGAGTATTTTTGCAAGAAACTGTCAAGTAAGAGTTTAGCAACATTTAAAACCAGATTGAAGCACTCATAGTTGATGAAATCAAAAACAACTATTCTTTCTGTAGTGGGTACTGGCAAAGTCCCCATTACTTATGCTAGAGGAAAATCTATCAAGTGCCTGAGGCTGAAGCCATGTGCAGCAGCTAGCTAGCATTTTGCCTTTGCTTTGGACTCTGTTCCATTTTAAATATGCAGATCATAATGTGAGTATTTCATCAAACCTGTCTCCATCCTGATCACCTAATTACCATTAGAAAGAATAGCAATGTGTCCCTAAACTATAGATTGATGAGCCATCTGTAAGCGGAAACAAAGAGCAGAAGGAAGCTTAATTGAATCAAATATTTAGAATGCATACTCTATCTTGTAGTTACTCAGAAACTGGCCTTCTCTTCAGGCTTCTGTCCTGCACATCTGGAATTTATCACCACTAACTGCATTTAATCCTTCAACCTTACCATGAAGTGACTGCTGATAATATATAATTATGGTTTAATTCAAGTGGTGAATCAGCGATGGGGAATTTGTGGGGGCAATGGGAATTCAGACTTCCATTAGCTGATGAGAATGGACCACCCAATATCACAATGCAAGTCTTTGTCTCTTTCTAATGGAGATGCCATGTCTGGAAGCTCATGGGTCTGCTGTGTCTGCTCACCTCTCTCAGGTAATACACCTGCCTGAGCTACTGCTCACACTATAGAGGCTCAGGGTTTTCTGCCAACGGAGAGGAGCTGACCCAGGGGCACAGCTGTTGCCCAAACCTTCCCAGCCAGCTGTCCCTGCAGCACCGACATTTCTTCTGCTTGCAGGGGGGGGACCCCAGAGGGGCCAACACAGGTGACAAATGTACAGCTGGGACTTGCTCAGAATCAAATGGGAACAACAACAAAATAATTCCCCCTAATGTGGTAACTTCCAGAAGCCACCATGAGAATAAAAGCATGTAATCCTAACTGCTGGTTAGGTATCTGAGTCTCTGCTCCAAAGATAGCACATTCAAAGTGTGGTATGTATGGTATGGTGTTTACATGGGTGACAGGGAAGGGAACAGAAGACTTTAAAAGAGTAAGCTTTGCATCTCTACTAGCTAATTAAATGATCAGGACTGAGACTGGATGCTGAGAAATCTAGAGAGAAGGCTGCCCCCAAAAAAACCAGCTTATTGTCCAAGGATAGACACAGGGCTCAAGGCTCAGTTCTGCATTTTCGATGCTGCAGCTTTTGATCCCACTGGAAAACAGGGGTGGGGGGTGAAGCAGGGAGTATCCTCAGTCTCTCATGTTACTAAAGAAAGTAATGGCCTAAAGAAAAACTGGGCTACTGAGTGTTACATGACTTATAGGCATTTGCTGAACCTGACACTGCTGTCACTCTTTCTTTTAACAAACTCAAGTATTTTTAATATATTTTAATTCAGTCATCTTGCACACAGACAGCACTTTCTGTGAATTGCTACTCATGGAAGACAACTGGCAAACTTGTGACAAAGCCCTTAGGATACAGGGAAAGGAACATGAATATAAACCATCTCAACCCTTCCTTTGAGGCATGAGCAGTTCTCAGAAAACTTTGCAGCTCAGATCCGAGGGATATGCCATATCTCAAGCACTTCAGTCTTGATACTGGAGTGGTAACAGCAGCAAGTGCCATAACTGGCTCATTTTTGATGATGTAGTAGCATGCAGTTGGCTGCATCCCTGCTTATGTTCTGTTTACCACTTGAAGAAACCAATCCTAAATGGTCACAATGGGAGTAAAAAAGCTAAGAGATCAGTACTGTTTAAAGAGATTTTTCTCCTTGTGTGCTGGGTTGGGCTGAAGGAGAGTTAATTTTTTTCACAGCAGCTAGTACAGGGCTATGTTTTGCGTTTGTGCTGGAAACAGTGTAGATGTTCCCCTCACTCCACTGCACCAAGGAACAGGCTGGGGATGCATGAAAAATTGGGAGGAGGGAGAGCCAGGCCATCTGACCCAGACTGACCAAAGGGATATGACATGGCATCATGCTCAGCATATAAAATGGGAGGAAGAAGGAGGAAAGGGAGACATTCAGAGTGATGGTGTTTGTCTTCCCAAGTTACATATGATGGAGCCCTGCTTTCCTGGGGGTGACTTTCCTGCCTGCAGATGGGAAGTGCTAAATGAATTCCTTGTTTTTACAGCTTTTGCTTTGTTTATTAAACTATCTTTATCTCAGCTTACAAGTTTTCTCAGTTTTTTTCTCTCTCCCATTGCACCAGAGGTAGTGAGGGAGCAGCTGTGTGGGGCTTAGTTGCTAGCTGGGGTTAAACCACAACACCCTACTAGCTGAGATTAATGCAGTTTGGTTTTATCCGTCCCATCTACTGAAAGTGCACTGGTCTCCTCCCTCATGGCACCACCTTGAGGAAGGTAACCATGCTGAGTGGCTCCATCCCTTCTGTCAAAGAACAACCAGACCAGCACAAATAACCTAAAGCATCCCACACACAAAAGATCTGGGCCCATCTCTGAGTGGTTTGCAGCAGGTTTTGTTTTATTGCTCATTCCATTTTAATGGGAGAGGCAGCACTATCATGGCCTTCCCAGAATGAAAACGTGGAAATCACAAATACAAAAGAGGGGTCTTTTGGGAAGGGATTGCTGGTGATGCCCCAAACAAGTACCAAGCAAGAGAATGACAAAGCTGGTTTTTCCATCTGTGCAAACCTAAGAGTGGCAAATGAGCTTTCTTACCAAATGAGCACTGAAGTTTCTTGAGAGAAGCTTAAAGAAACTTTTGTTTCCTAACTCATCAGTTGCTCTGCTCTCTGGTCTGCCAAGCCTTTTCCCAGGGCTGTGGCATTTCTCTGCTGCTGCATATTGTGCCGATGATTTGCACTAGATGAAAAGGTTCTCCACAAGTATAAAGCATTACCTCTGCATAATTCTAATCACACAAAATTGGTCTCATGCATTTGCAGCTACTCATGGTTTCTAAGTCACCTGTTTTATAATAATTTTTAAAGCAATGTTTTGAAAAAGGAAATGAACAAACATAAAACCTGCAAAAGAGGGAAATTAATGTGGGATTTCAGACAAGTTATTTATCTTCCTTTTTGGCTCAGTGCAATGCTGTAGGGATAAGCACATAACTAGCTGCTTTAATATTTACTCCTATTATAAGAAAAATAAACATTGCTGATAAGTCACTGCTTTCCAGGATTAGATTTCATATTTTAGAGACTGCTTTAAATTAATGCAGAAGCAAACATTATCTTTTCTTCTTATTCATATATTTCCCTAATGAGTTCCAAGCAAATTGTGCCTACTTATATTT